GAAGTAGTTTTGACAACTCTCAGAAGCAGCAAAATTCCCGCCAAAGGAGCAATGGTCAGAAATTAGTGAGCCACCAATAAGCAACTGGAGGAAGACTGGGAAAGGGGGAAAAATAGGTGAGATAGAGAACCCCACAGGACTACATGCAATAAGGGAAGTCCCAGAGCACTGGATGGCGTAAGCCAGCGAGGGCTTCTTTGCCTTTCTGACAGGCAGGCCTATTACAAGTGGGGGCAAAAAAAAGAAACCATTTTCCCTCACTTATCTAACAGGAAAATCTCCCTTTTTCCTCCTGACCCCCTTCTCTAATGCAGTTCTTTTCTTATGATAGTGCAGGAGAATTTGATATTACTGATGATAAATCTAAAAGGTACAGTTTGACAGTCACAAAGGGAAATTCCCAAATCGCTCTTATTAGCATGTGTACATGTAATTCTTTTACTCCGGGAGCTAGAAATTTAGCTCCCACTTTTCAAAGCTTATAAAGCCAGCCTCGTGCTGTCTAAACAGGCACAGAGTTTTCTTATGTTCTTCTGTTGCTTCTGCAGAATAATGTATTAGGAAAAGCTATTCTGGAAAGGGTCCATTCAACATACAAACTTCAAGAAGACCTTACATTTGCTATCCTCAAAAGCAAGGTAGGGGTCCTCCCTGGTGGAGCAATGGGTTAAAGCTCAGCACTGAGAAGCTAGCTGCAGCCACAGCCCCTTCAGTGTGAGTTCAATCCTGGTTCAAGAGGTGACCCGTGTGGCACAGCCCATCTCTCCTGTCTCACCTGCTGCTCCCCTCAGCAGTGTACTTCGTCAATCTGCCTGTTCTGCTCCCCTCTCTGTCTCTGGTGAATCTTCTCACTGCCCCTGCACCACTGGCCTGCATCCCCATTCTGTATCCATAAATAAATACATCTTTAAAATAAATAAATAAAAAGTAGAAACACTAAGAAAGTGTGAACTTCCCTTTCCACACCACAAAGACTTGAGATGGTTCTAGAACACTTTTCCTTCATTTCAAATTTTGCAGCATTCAACAACGAAGAACACGAAAACGATGCCATTAAGAATATGGTGAGTTTCTAGATAGACCCAGCATTTCATGCCTGGCTCCCACTTTAGGAATAAATGTTCAACATACACAATGGTAGAATGATGTGTTTATAGCTGACACAACCACTGCTATCCACAGAACGCCAGGGCAAGTATCTCCTAGTCAACTGATACAGCAAACCACTCAAAAGGCAAAGGGGAGGAAATAGACACAGTACAGGATTGTTGTAGTACAGAAAACCCCCAAACTCTCTTATTACAGTTCTCTAAGGCCTTTAAAAAAGAAAATGTTTTCTCCGCATTCACTTATAGACATCACATTTAGCATTTACTTCTGAAAAAAAAAAAAAAAAGACTAGTCTCTCATGCCACCCCCTCCTATCAAAGCACTCTCAAACTCAAGCACTTCTCAGTAGAACCACATTTAGGCTTCTCTCTTCCTCATAAAGTAGAACCTCATGTGGGAAGCCTAGGAAAGTACTTACTCAACATTGATTCAACAGCTATAGGCCCATCCTAGATAAAACAACATTGAAGGCATTGGGGATTCAGTGGGGAATCATCATCATCATCAAAATAATAAAATCCCTGTTTCATGGAGCTTCCGGTCCAGTTGAGAAGAAAGCCAATTAAAAAGAGAAATGTAAAATATAAAATGTGTAAGTGTGTAAAGAAAGACAAAGCAGGCTGGAGGCCAGAGAGGTGTGGAGTAATGTTCCTTTGTGCAGGTCAGGAAAGACCGCTTTGATCTGGAAACTGGAGACATAGGAAAGCAGGGAAGTTTAGCAAAGAAATACATATCACTGCCTCCCTGCTTATAAACTCAGCAGTACTTGATGAGACGAACAATTATTTAAAGTAAACTTCAAAAGTACTTCATATGTAATTTTCAAAAAGGCTAATGAGTGTGCACCCTAAATTTAAGTGATGAAAGCTGCATTCTTGGACACCACTCCACGGAACAGCTCTGAATTGTCATGTGTCCCCTGGAGGGCCCTGTGGGATGGGCAATGGTGGCTGACAGGCTGATTTTTCTCTTCATCCCCCTAAGACTGTGTTCATGTTTTTAAAGAAGTTGTTAATTGAAGGTGTGTTACTGACCTTCCAAACCACACAGGGTAAAGTCCATCTACCTCATCCAAGGCTGTTTGACACTCACAAACAGAAGGACCATCAGACATAATTTAACATTCTCACATTCTTCCTCTTGTCCCAGGGTCTTGGGCAGCTCGGGCTGATCCCTCTAACTATAGCGCCATGCATACAGCCCAGGTCAACTGATATGCAGCTCCATCGTCTTTCTTGCACAGACGACAGTGTTTGTGAGCAGGTTGGAGACAATTTCAGGAGTGAAGCCCGTCTGTACATTGGGGGCAAATTTGCAATTTGTGGGTGCCAGACAGGAGTGTTGGGGCATGATGAGTTGGGATGCACTCCTACAAGGATTGCTGAGGATGGAAACTACTAATTCCAATAGCTGCTACTGTTATTACCCCAATATTCATATACCAGAGTCATACCCCTGCCCAATGAAAGGGCACACGGAACACCAAATTGAAGGGGAAGTACAAACTCAGAGTTGTAAAAGTATACCCAGCTATGTAAAGGTTACTACTTTCAAATTTTACTAAGAAAATTGGGACTCCCCTTTCAAGCTGATGCAATCTGGAAGAGAAAGTTCTTAGCACTAAAGATCACTAGAATTGAGTATTTTCTTCCTCTCTCTTAACCCACTTTATTTACAGAAGGATTTTTAAATGACTTTAAGTTGGCCATGTGGCATCTCAAAGTTTACACTTCAGAACTTTTTGAAAACCTCATTTAATGTTTCAGTTTTGAAAGGGCATCACATGAGCAGTTCAAAGTAATGGGTTAAGAAAAAAGAAAAACCACCATAAGATTAGAATCAAAAGCTAGATTAGCATCAAGAGTTATCTTGATTATAGTAACAGCAATGCTCATTTCTGTGCAACGTGAAACCCAAAAAACTTTCTCAGAAGACACTGGATAAAAATGCTAAAAAAAAAAAAAAAAAAATCACCAGAAGTACATTCTAACACCCACCTGACTAAGAAAATAATTTCTAGTAAAACACACTGCTATGGTGACACCCTAATCTAGCAGGCTCAAGTTTTTGATAGTAATAGAAACTTTTACAAATGAGAGATGTTAAGCATTAAAGCATGTTTACATACTGTTCTCCCTGTAATGGGGGACACAAACCAAGGTGCAAACAGGTGAACAAACAAATAAGGTGGAATCTACAGGCGCCCACAAACAGCACTCAAGGGGCTTGACCTTGGCAATAGAATCAGTTCAATTGATTGTAAGAGCTGGGCACTTAGAACCAGTGTGATCACACATATAAAATGGAAACATTTAACATGTTAACACAGAAAAATGCCAGCATCTCCTGTCATCCATTATTGTAAGACACTGGGAAATTTTAGACTTCATAAGGTTTTTTAAAATATGGGCCCTCCCTGGTGGCGCAGCGGGTTAAAGCACTGCACTGAGAAGCTAAAGCCACTTCTGCATGAGTTCGATTCCCACCTGCCCCGGAGGTGACCACTTGGCGCGGCAGACCTTTCCTGACCCGCCCGCTGCTCCTCTCAGCCGTGTACTTCATACATCTGCCTGTTCTGCACTCTGTCTTTGGTGAAGCCTCTCACCGTCCCTGAGCCTCTGGCCTGTACCCCAGTTCCTTATGTACAAATAAATAAATCTTAAAAAAAAAAAAATGACTGGCTATTTCAACCTGAGGAGATAGGAATACAAGTTTTTTAAAAATGAAAAAAAAAAACTATTTATTGGAAATATCTTCTTTTTAGTGTTGATGCTTTTTCTCCCCCAACAAACACCCTTGTATTATTTTATTTTGCTTCTTTCCAAAATCTTTTATGCAACTGGGAAAATAAATTGGTAACAAAAACCTAGAAAAGTTTTGATTGAATTACTAAAAAGTTGAAAACGTGGCAGATAAGATGTACATATACACACACAAAAATATACACTTAAGTATTTATGTGACACACACACATACATATCTACGATATATCAAGCATGTAAATGTAAACACACACATACACATACACACCCCACAAAACCTAGTCAAAGCTGGCTCTTTATTTTCTCAATTTAAAGATAATATTGCTCACAGGTCAGTCTGGATTTCCTATAGCTCTATTCTTTCCTAGTCAAAACTCCTGCAAACTTTCTGTGACAGTCTTTCTGAGGTAGAATCCCCAGAAAGCGGCAGAGCTGGGGAAACCCAAGAACTTCATGGTGGATAAGCTCCTCGAAGCCTGTAGGGTGCCCACTCTTCTATAATTTGCACCTGAAACTCCACACAAAAGGTGGACCAGCAGCTGACATGCAGAAACGACTACACTCAAAATCCCAACCCAGTCACCTGAAGACAAAAAAACCCCGTAAAACAGTCCATTTTGAGTACGAGAAACACCTCGAGCATTGCATTAAGAGTTTCATTCCTCAAATCTGTGAAAGCCAGCAAAAATACTAAATTCCGATCGCAACACTTGATAAATAAATGCAATGGCTGGGTAGGAAATTGTGGGTACCACTTCACAGCCCTGAGGCTTTACCCCCATACCCACAACCTAAAAGCACAGTGCCAGCCCAGTCTCCAGGGGCGGCTCTAAATTTGACATGTACTATTTAACTGTACCAGGAGAAAGGGTGTTCCTGCAACGAAAGAATCACTGTATTCCATCCTTTTATTCCAGAAGGAGATAATGAGCAGTGCCCCACAGAAGCTGAGAGAAAGGCAAGTTCATGGCAAATAAAAACAGAACCTCTCCCCTAAAAAAAGAAATTAATTGGATGATCACCTAGAGCTAATGCTAATACCCCTTCATCACCCTGGCTCGGTTACATCCAGTGATTCACGAATCTGTGCCAGGCAAGCTGCTGCAGATGTTGCTCTTGTTAACTTACAGCATTCACTGTGCGCTGTTCACAGGTGGCCCCACCTAGCCTTCACCATGGAGACTTCCACAGGACACTGAGGTGCTCCTGAGCTCGGGCGCGCTTTTTCTTCCTTTCACAGAGCAGGGAGAGCAATCTAGCATGGGAACAGAACGGCAGAGAAAAAAAAAAGGTAAATGCATCATCAAATCACTCGTTCTCCACAAATGAAGTCTCAGGATCAGTTAGGCTCATTGAGAACTCACTAAAGACCATTTCTTAAAAAAAGAAATTCAGAACTTTTGCTCTTGCCCCAGAGGATCCAGGGTAGCACTGCCAACCGCCCCCCGCTGCCAATCCTACTCCCCTCCCAAAATATTGAAGCCAATTCAGGGGACTTCAGATGGAATGCCAGTTAGGATGCAAACTGGCACCACAGCCTCACAATTGGCCACTTGGTTTTGCTCTCTGCAGCAAGGGAGGAAGCTAGTACTATCCCCTTTTGCCATTTTCATAGCTGACTGGGTTGCTGGGCAGATCAATAAGATCACGCTTGCAAAGTACTCGCAGTTCCTGGGAAGAAAGGCGCTATGTAAACAGCAAGTATTAGTGGCATCAGAGCTGTTACTGCTGCTCTGAGCCAGAATATAAAAGCCGGCAAGCTGGCTCTGGCTAGGTATCAACAGTCAGCCATCCTCGGGGCTCCCTAAATTCTGCATGGGTCGCTGTGCTAAAACTTCCCTTGCACCAAGGGATCCTCAGAAGCAGAGGCCTGGAAACCGAGGCGTCTGGAATCCCTGGGAGAAAGAAAGTGAAGGCCAGGAGCAGGGCTGGAAGAGGCGGGGGTCGTGAGGGTGGCAAGAGAGGCCTGTGCTGGCAATTATTTGGTCCACACCACATGACTGGCTCCCCCAGCTTGCTAGTTTGCAGAGTTCGGGGCGCTGGCTGTTTGCAGGGCTGTGAAACTTTCCACTTGGCTAAGTGCCAGTCCTGCCCACCGAGGGTAACACTTCCACACAAGGTAGCTCAGAGGGTCGCTAGAGAAGGACGGGTAATTTTCTTTTCACTGCTTTTAAAGAAAAGATCTATTTAGATCCTTGACTGTTACTATTTTCCACACCTTGATTTCCCCCCCTCCTTAGGTTTTCCTGGGCCAGTGTCATCAAGTTATTCTGACTTGTGTATCCTTGCAAGAGAAAAACTAACACGAGTGGCTTTGGAGATGACAGGAGACATAGCACCCACAGGCGAGCCAGAATCCAGTTTGCTTCCCAAATAAATAATGAGCCATAAGCACTGGTCATATTTTCTTTTCCAAGCCATAAGGACACACTGAACAAAGGAGTCGGATCTGAAGTATTAGTACTGTGGTGTAATATTATTTTTGAGGGATAAAGGCATGGCATCCTCTAATTGCAGAAATAGGAAATGATGAACAATAGCATACTTAAGATATGGAGCGAGTAAAACACCAACAGTATACCTCAAAATAAAGAACAACAACAAGAAAAATCAGGACAGAAAGAAAAGAGAGAAGATATTTACTACTAATATAATTAGTCATGGCTATCATCGTGAATACAGTTTACGACATGTTTTCTTTGTAATTCATCCGCTCAATAAAATCATACTTGGTGTGTGCATATTCACTAAGTTTTATGTTCATAAAAGTGAAAAAACAGGTAAGGACTAGGTCTTTAAGGAACCTGTCGTCTCAAGAGGGACAGACATTAAAAATTCATCATATATAATTTTCAGTATCTATAAAATTAACAGGCATTATGAAAGAAAAATGAACAAGATTTGCAACCATAGTGGGTTATTTCATTTGGAAAGAGGGACTCACGAAGGCTTTTCTGACAAAAAGTAACATTTTGAGCAGGGAAGTAAAATATGAGAAGTTCGCCAGGACAGTTTCCAAGCAGAGAAAGCAGCTTGTATGTTATATACTCTGAGGAAAGATGGGCAAGTGTTCCATCCCTGGTCATTTCAACTGGGTGCCCTTGGTCAGGAAATGAACAATGAACTAGATGCTAAATCAAGATACAGTGGTGTTCATTTCACAATATATATGTATGTGGAACCACCATACTGTATAATGTTACATGTCAATTAAAACTCACTAAGAAATGAGCAACAGAATTGTTAATACTCTGAAATAAGAGATAATTTTGCTTTCAGATTGCTGGGAGATCAGACAACAGGCCAGTCGTTTCTGCCAGGGCAACGCCATTCAATGCAGGTATTAAGCTTGATGTGACAGGAAGGAAGACTGGCTTCCTAATGCATCTTGAGTCACCTCCATTGGAGTGAAATAAAATGAGGCACTCAGTTAACACCTGCATGCCACAGCTGGAGTTAAGAAACCCCTCCCCAAAAAGGGCTAAAAACAGACCACATTACATGCCAACTTCTGAAAAACATCATCTAGTACCTTACATGAGGTTCCAAATTTGCTGGTTTCTTCTTGACTACTCGGATAGTTTTATTATTTACCACCTGGACATAATTGCCATTTACGCCAACCTCCAAGTGTGTCTTCTGAGTCTGTTCTCTTGGTTCCTGATTTTATTACTCATTTACTCAGCCAGGTGAGTAGCAGGAGTCCAAAAAACAAAAAACAATGGAAATGCTGTGCTCATCTGAAGTGTTTCCATGTTCTCTATCACCCCAGATCTGGTACAACTTAGTTCTTCCATGAAGGAAAAGCAGTAATTTGCTTTCGTTACCCTACAAAACGAAAGCATTCTTAGGCAGGCTCATTCATGTTCTCCCTATGAATGGAGTAATTTTCAAAGTCAGCTTGACGGGAAGAAGCCAAACTTCTACTTGAGTCTTTTTTCCATTTAAGATCCTCAGGATAAAGTGTATTTCTGCCTACAAGTTTCCCATGAAACCAAAAACAATGTTCCGTAAGTTCAGCCTTGAAATACAAACCCTTGCTTTGACTTTGTGGTTCTGATAAATATTAGCGAAATCAGGAAGAAAATAGAGGCAAGAAAAAGAAATCAGTAAAGTCAAGTTGTTCAATAGCCCCGCCAGCAAACCTGGTATATTACATCAGGGTGACAGTTTCATGTTCTGTCCAGAGGAAAGAAATGACACAAAACCCCGTCTTACCCTCACTGCCCACGACACTTTCAGTCCCCACCACACATTTAGACCCAAGAACATTTCAATTCCGTGCTCCGTTATATTGTCTTTTTATATGCCACTGGATGTATTTAAGTCTTAAAGGCTCAAAAAGTCTATAAGCTTCTTGATGAAAGAAGCCTTGCCATGCCCTTCTTTTGCAATCTCCCAACAGAGTCTAGTAGGAGAGTCTGAATTTAAATTAAATGATCCAGAGCCCAAACCTGTTCTGTGATTTAACCCTTCCTCTGAAGGAGTCACTTCTCTATAGCTATAAATTTAAGTGCTTCTCACTTTTCTCTGTCCTCCAGGGACTTGGGGTTCCTGCATGAATTTGAGAACAATGATATGACTTAGCCTCCTCTCTTCTGTCCTCCCAATTCATCACCTGTTTAGTTACCAGTGGTTTCTGAACCATGGCCAAGTCCTTTCAAGATTTACAAACTTCCCTCCACCTACCCCTCATCTCCAGGAATCTGAATCCTTGATTCTTATCACAGTTCTTGAAAAGTCACTGTTTTAAGAACCCCTCCCCCCCAAGGTGTGTGGAGGAGAGATGCAGATAATCTGAGGCGGTGGCCCTCAAACTTGAGTCACCATCAAAAAACCTGGTAGTTTTGTTAAAACACTGGGATGGGGCCCACTCTGGGAATTTCTGATTTAGTAGGTTGTGGGGAGGCAAGAGAACTTGCATCTCTGACAAGTTCCCAGTTGGTGGTGATCATGCTGGTCCAGGGGGCCACATTTTAGAAGCACTGCTCTAAGGCAAAGTTTGTCAGTTACACAGCTAGACAGAAGCTAAGGTCTTCTCAGTGTGCGTAAGCACCGTAAGATGGCTACACTGGAGATAATGTCTTCCCATTCCAAAGAAATGGGAAAAACACAGGGCCTCCCTGGTGGCCTAGGGGATTAGTCTCAATACTATCACCATTATGGCTTGAGTTCGATCCCTGGCCAGGGAGCTGACCCACATGGCTCAGCAGACCTCTCCTGTCTCATCCACTGCTCCCCTCAGCAGTGTATTTCAGTCAATGTGCCTGTTCTGCTCCCCACTCTGTCTCTGGTGAATACTCTTATCCCCTCAACTCTGCCCTATACTCCAGATCTTCTATGTCAATAAATAAATAAAGTTCAAAAAATTACAATAAGGTGCACATACTATAACCTGGGGAAACTTTTAAATTTTTTGTTGCCCTGCAGAGACTTCACTTGTTTTCCTGCTGGATGCAGGGACTGTTGGGTCTAGTTCTGCCTTCCATCTCCCTGTTTCCTTTCTACTAGAAACTTCTCTGCCTACAACCATACTCAGTCATTGCTGTTCCTAAAAGAATGTGCCTGTACCCTGCTATATTCCCAAATTGCTGTTATCTCACTCCAGTTCACCATGTTAACAGTTCACAATTAACCACGTTAATGTGCATTACAAATTCAATGTGAGTATTTCACTGACTACATTAAAATTTGATTTCCACCTTTTCCTGTTTTTTTTTTCCTTTTCTTTAAACTTCCTTTTTTTTTTTCCAAAGGTAAAAATGATTTCCTGCCTTTTAAATGTTAGGATTTTTTCTACTGACTGCTCTTATAATATCTGATGCATTTTACCAACTACACCTACAATTTCCTCTTGTCTTACTTCCTGGACCAGTATTCTTGCCTGAACAACAACTTTCTGGAATGACCTCTCCCATCTTCCCTTTGCTCTTTGGGCTGAGATGACCCTTGATTCCAAAGATAAGTTTAACCTACTACTGAAGAACCAATATGTAGTACCCTTCACTATGGTTGGTTGTAGGGAGAGGCATGTACCCAAAGTCATGACACTCAAAGGCTCCTCTCAGACTGTCTGGGACTAAGAGGAATAAGGTGCCCTCACCTGGTGAAACCTCACAAACATGGTCTACTAAGAATTGTTTTTACCAGTGGTGAAAAACCCACTTAAGAAAGGAAGTAAAGCTGAAAAACAGAAAGTCTGGGTCCTGATAACAGTGAGTCCCCTTTCTAACTTTCAGGCAAAAGTTAGATTTA